TTCTATTTAATTTTGTTGATATTTATTAATTAATAAATTAAAAGAAACTAATTAATAAATTAATATTTTTAAAATTAAATATCAATTTTAATCTTTTCATTGTAAAACTTTACATAATTTTTGTCTCTCAATTTTTTATGTAATTTTTTAATCTCTCAATTATAAAAATATACCTTTTAGTTTTTTATTAATTAATTTATTAAATTAGTTCTAATAATATATATATTTTTATCTTTCAATTTATAAAAAATACGTATTTTTCATCAAACTTAAAAATTAAAAAATTAAAAAATATTCATATAAAAACTAAAAATATACATATAAAAATACATATAAAAATGGGTATGGTCACCGTTTATTGAAATATGCACAATGGTTGGGATAAACAGCATCTTCCGCTACTGGTGGGGACTCACATCTTTCTCGTATTGTCCCCTTCTCTCTAAGTTGCCCCCAAGAGTTCTAAAGTTTTGTGCTTTCAAAAAAAGCATCATATTTCTTTTGAAAATAGGCAATGAAAGAAACAGCACCATGTGCTCTTGAGGGATTCCATCCGTTGGTACATCTGGATAGGTTACAGTCAAAAACCCCACTAAAACAGTGGGTTGAAATGACCCTTTGCCAGAAAAATACGAGTAAAGTCAAATTAATATGAGAAACAAAGTTATCTGAAGATAATGTTTTAACCTGTTATGCAGATAAAGTGAAGGATTGAAGCTTCCAAACCAAGCAAATTAAGACTGTACGTACATAGGCACGTGAATTGAATTGCTGAATATCAAAGATCATTTCCTCTTTACGATTCTATATGTCGTCTGTGTGAGCATTGAATTTCCTTTTAACTTTTTTTTTTTTTTTTGTGGTTTTTCATCTAGTATCTAAGATTTCGTCCCAACTAATTCGTATCGACCCATATCGCGCACCTAAAAATAATGGATCAGTCTCTCAACAAAAGTTACTGCATACGCAAGGTCTCAAACTTAAAATTTTTTTTAAAATGAAACAAATCACTTATCATTTGATCAAACCCCTCGTTGATCTTTTTAACTTTTCTACTTTTTAACTTTTCTCTTTAGCGGTAGGCAACAAATCACTTATCATTTGATCCAACCCCTCGTTGATCTTTTTAATTTTTCTGCTTTTTAACTTTTCTCTTTAGCGGTAGGCAGCTACTTCTTCTTCTTCTTCTTCTTCTTTCTTTCTTTCTTCTTTT